ATGTGATCAGTACGCTCAACTAGTTCGCTTCCTGTCCTTATTTCAAGCGTTGATATACACTAGTCCTGATGCAACATTTTGTATTTAGATGGAAAGAACCGCATTCTGAATATGCTTTCGTTGTTTCTCAAGGTGGTTTTTTCATCTTTCCATAGTCTTCTCCCGATAGAGCTATATCATCTGTGTATTCTAAGTCAACAAGTGAGTCTCCTGGGATATTGATTCCTGAAAAGTCAGACGACAAGTGTTATCTCTAGAAGGGATGCCTATGAAAATTGGGTAAATGGATTACCCTGACGAACACCACTTGAAGCTATGACTTCTGATGTTAGTTCTTCATAAAGTTTAACTCGAACAGTAGTGTTAGTTTGTATCTCGGTTTCAAGAGACCGGTAATAGCATTTCGTGGTTTAAAGTCGTTAGCATTGATTGATAAGGTGGTGAATCCTCGTCAACTTAAGTGGTTGAAACTTATGTTACGTATGCCTAAATACCGCCTTCCTCGACGAGCGATGCTTAGTAGTGTAGAAGTAGATTGGAAGAAAACCAGAGATGGTTAAACCAAAATATGACATCAGTCTGTGAATTCATTAACTTATGTTTGGAACCATGTTATTAGATCAAGACTACCTAATTTGTATATTCATGGTAAATACGTTCATTGTTTTAAGATGTTAAGTGACATGGCTCAGATCGCCACTAACCATTAAAATGTAAAATTTTATTTATATCTTGTAAATACGTCTAACTTTTATCTTGTAATCATTATAGTACTGTCTTCCGACTTGTATACACAATAAGGGCAAGATAAAATAACCAAATAATAGATGAAGTTGAAAGAATACTTACTTTTCATATTATTTGGTAGTATATATGATACTCTATTAAATGTAATAATAAATTCCTTTCTCTAATTGATCATACTTGGTCACCAATTATGTTTTTTTTTTGTTTTTACAAAAACATTCCAGTACGAACTGTTCAAGGGGATTCTGCACGTCGTTATGCAAAAATTTCTGAAAATATGAATAAAATCTTATCGAATATACAAGATCCAAATCATTCAATGAAAACAAATATGTTGCATAATTTAGAATCACGTGTTAATGCCTTGCCAACTATAACATCGGATTGTATCAGACGTGTACTACACGAAGAATTATTAAGAGTATTTTCAAATAGTAAGTAATAGTAATTTCTTTTTTTTCAACTGTTGTTGTTAGGCTCTATTACGATTTTGGAAACTCATATTGTTCATAATAGTGGGGAAATGGCACTCAGCAATATATGTTTGTGAGAAAGAGAAAAAAAAGTGAGTCGATACATCAGTAAATAAGAGAAAGAAAAAAAAACAATCACCCACAAGCACTAAAACTAGGATTGCTGGATAATCAAAATAAGTGATTGAAAGACCAAGTCTTTAAATGGATTCTATGTCATATAATTAAATAATCATATTTTTGTTACAACAAGTAGAATTAAATACTCATTGGTAGCCTTTTGACCTATATATTCAATGGTTATTTGGTTAATAATCTATTGTCATGTTAAGTCAGTTGAATATTTTGTATATAAATAATAGTTACTGTGTTATTTGGATGAATCAAATATGTATTTCGCAGTTGGAAATTGTAACAGTTTTCGTTATATTTTCTCGATCCCATTATTTGTAATTGATTGAACTGCAGTCTATATATACAAAAAACCTAAGCTAACATTATTTCTATGACATTGATCGTAGTTGCTACCTTAAAAATAGTGGTTGGATATGTGTGTTATGATAACTTATTCGATCTATTTTGACTAGAACACTTGTTTCTTTAAGTCTTACCACACCTGGTAAATTGGTTAGAGGACAGTTGGACTAAAAATTTCAAACTCATCTGAAATCGTAGCCGACGTGCTGACTGTACCAAGGAGTATAGTGACATCAAAGTGTTTTCCCCAAACAGCAAGGATCTTCACTGATACTGCCTTTTCATAGTTCATAGCTGAAGGGAGGGGCTAGAGATGGATGACCCTAAAAATACCTCACTTCACCTAACCCCTATGTATATATGACTATACTGCCCATTGTTGTGTCTGTTATTTTTCCTTATCTTACAGCTGTCTTTTCATTGTTAATATTCTGTTGCCTTTTTTTTGATTAATTAGATTTATCTCGAATTGTTGAACCATTGCAACAATCTCTATTTAATGTGTTAAAAGATCATTTATCTTCATTGCCAACAACGTTAACAGATAATGTTCAACGTACTCTACGTGAAAAGGTGAGATTTTAACTAAGAAACTAATTAATTAATCATTCAGACTTATTAATTAATTCTTTGTAACATGATATATGTGTATTGGTAATTATAATATTCAATTTATATGTATGTACAATTTCATTATATTATGATTGGTAGTCCACACATTTACATCAAATTTCATTGTGCTAATAATCTTAGATCCTTCTAGTCGAATTTGAGCTCTCTTCGAGTATGAATAGAGGTATTATGATAATTCTTACTTCTTGCTTTACTAAACCGTGAAAGTATTTTTTGAGGTATTTGAAAATGAAAGTGAATTGGGCGCAGTCTCAAAATGCCGGGACTCTGACCTCGAATGCTCAAGAGATAGCTGTTTGAACTTGGTCACACACAACCTTTTTGTGAATAGTTTTTAGTATGTTAGCTCTGTACTCTTATGACCTTATCATCGAGGACGTACATTCATGGCCAAGATGAGATTTTCCATTTTCAAACCTCGCGTTTTCTAAACTCCCACTTCCTTGTGAGAAAAAATCACCGCTACAGATGTGTGTTCTTTAAAGAAAACAACTTACCACTCACTACACTACTACTACTACTTCGCCCTTAACATTTAATTTGCTGCTTTTAGTTGTACAACTCTTTGACTAACCTCCTTGATATGATAGTGTCTAAAAGAGATAAGTGTCCTCACCAACATAGCTCGATTAATTCATTACCATATCAAGATAGCATCTATGGTTATATGGAAGCTTACTGGTGTTAAACACATAATGGTATTCGATTAATAATAAAAATTGATGTGGTCTTTTATCTCATTGAATATGTCGTAATACCATACATCAAGCAATTCCCTCGTACATCCCAATAAGCAACATTCACGGATGGAAAAATGACTGAAGTTGGTGAATACAGTATATTTATTGAACAGTCAAAATCTTGTAGATAATCTCAGCCGAATTAAACAACATAGGATTCGGAACATACAAGTTAACTAGTTGAAAACTTGATTACCTAACAACTTTTTATCCACTTTTATATACCTATATTATCTTTATATTTGGAATTATGTATCTTTGTAACAATTAATTTGTTTGTTTCTATGTATATATATATATATTTTTCAGAATTTCACTACACAAATTGTACGATCTGCATCTGGAATATTGTCTACGGAACTGTCTAATGCTTATCGTGATTCATTAAATAAAATTTATGTTCCAGCCTTAGAAAAATCCACTAAGAAATTATTCACAGATCTTAATAATGTTTTTCAACTTGGTACACAACAATGTATGTTTTACTTAGAAAATTTGTAAACAGTTTTTTATTATGTAAGGAATTTCATTAACCGTATATATCTTCGTTCATTCAACAGGTGAACAAGAACAGTTTAGTATGTTTTTTATGAGTTAGTCATAATGATTAAGGTAAATTTTGGTATAAATATGTTCTAGCTCAAACTATCACATCGACACAGTAAGATGAGATTAATGGGAGAAATGGATAATTAAAATAGAACACTCAAGATGTAGGAATATGCTTCTCAAGGAAGTGTTGAGAAACATGTGTATATGGATGAATATTAGAACTCATAATTTAATTGGAGATGAAAGCTACATAAATCTGTGACAATTCAACAGATTCCCAGTCATGTTGGGAAGCATAATACAATGAGACACTCCTGGAGTTCTAGTGAGAAGTAGTGACCAGTGGAGTTCAACCAGGTCTGTTGTGAGATGATATCAACTCACTGAAGACAATGGTGTACGGTGGTGCAAATTCGTGGATTAGTTGAAGTTAGACATTAACACCGTTGGATGCCGGCCAGCTCAGTGATCTAGTGGTTAAGTGCTCGCGCGCGAAACCAGTAGGTCCTGGGTTCGAATTCCGCGAGGTGCGGGGTCGTGGGTGCGCACTGCTGAGGAGTCCCATACTAGGACGAAACGGCCGTCCAGTGCTTTCAGGTTTTCCATGGTGGTCTAGCTTCAATTGACTCATGATTTCAACTTGTGATAATACAATGAGTTTTATCCATTTTTTAAAACTCCGGATAGTGTTTGATTTATGTGTTCATTTTAATAATTTCATCCTTCTGGTGACCCATTTGTAACACATTTCTGCGCTACATCTGTCGATGAAGATTCATAGTCTTCTGAACAACAGCTTAACCATCTTTGATTGTTACCCTACATTTTATGTCAGCGTTGATTACCTCATTTTGTTATTAATTCTAACTTTAACGGAATAACGAAGTAAACTATTTTGAGTGTGGCATTTGCCAAATATTTATTTATTTAAACACAAAAATTGGTACAAGGAGGCACCAGATAGATATGCACCGCATAAATCATTCGATTTGTGTGAGGGTTAGGATACCGCCCAGGTTCCCAGACCTAAGCAGGTGGTTTTCTTGGGGGAGGGTGCACACGTAGCCTTCGACCTAGACGTCTGTTCCACAAAGCGGTGGGGCATCGTAAGAAGATGCAGTCATATGGTAGCCGGTGACTAACGATTGGTTCATACGCCATTCGTTTCCTGAGGATACGGGAGCCCATGTGCATCACTGGTTTGGAATCGGAGTTTTCCAACTGCCCTATGTAAACTTTCCGTGTCAATAACCTGGCAAAAGTGCCGGACATTCGCTTTCCGTCCTCTCAATTTCGTAAACAACAGTAATGGTGAGAGAAGGCAATGAGTAGGACTTCCCTGGCGGAGGCTATATACTCGCGGCCATTTGAGAGCATTTGGAGTGGGAGAGCTGACGCTCCCCACTCTCGGCCGTACCAGGACATTTGCTAAATAACGATACTTAGTGCTCACCATTATGTGTACGTAGCTACTGTTCACTCAGGCGCACTGTTCATATGGCTGACAACTGACTAGGTAAACATTCTGATTGTTTCTTATAAATTACTCCTTTACACATGTATTTAACCTACTGTACAACATTTGGACTCCTGTATAATTTGACGAATGTAATGTGTCTAGTTTACACTGATATCAGTTCTTTGCTTTCTTTCGTTAACAAAATCTTTATTTTTACTTGTGATCCTCTAATTATTGACAAACTTTTTTTTCTTCTATTTTTATAGATTTAAATCAAATTTCATCTCGTATTCAAACTCCATCATTTGATGCTACAAATTTTACACCTTTGATGAATCAAATATCATCTATGATAAAAGTAAGCAATGATCATAGGCCTAATTAATCTTTATTTTTAACTAATCCAGATATCTGAAAACAAAGTTCTGAGTAATGGGAGTCGCTAAAACGACATTCATAAAATGTATCCAAGCGCGTTGCATTCATCCTAAAGCTGATCTTTCAAGAACTTATCATAAATTAAATTATGTTATACAGCATTAGCAGACGTTAGCATCATTTCCACAATGCTACCACCATGTTCAAATAGTCATTCGAGTGTATCGCTTATTTAACGCACAAAGCTATTGAACATCTCAGATATCAAAGAATCGATATATGTGGGACGCTATTTTGTAGATGGTTGAGTCGGAATTTATTATCTGCTAACTATTGCCTTCGTTTTTGTAACACGTTTACTTTGACAGATTTCGCAGGCGTTACGTATAGATTTTGTAAAACTTTTTTTTAAAGAAAAGACCCATATATATAACACAATTTACTATAATAAGGGAGAAAACTGTCTTAACATAGCAGTATTTGATAGTCAAGATGTTTTTCGAAACTGTAAGTGAATTCACTCATTCAATCATGTCTCTATCTTTCTAGTTGATAGAAGATTACAACCATATTGATCGATTTACCATCTTTACCCATAGTGCTCTACCTCCTAACATCAGTGTTCATAACTCAATTATTGCAATATACACATAAGCAGTAATTTAAAGATATCCACTATCTGATACAAACAATTGACATACCTTTGCTTTTAAAGATCATTTCTTATATTCGTCACGTATTTCAAAAATGATTATTTTGGATTATATCATCTTTTTGATAAACAAAAAGATATCACTCTCTTGCATTATTAGTTTTTTATATCGCTATATGGATAAGTTAATTGTTACTATAGATGATTACAAAACTATATTTAGTTAGTGTACTCATCGAACAAGTGGCCTGTATCATGCTTGTACTCCAAGTCAATGATGATAAAATTTAAACGGGATCAGGGATGCATACTGATGAACAGTTCCATATTAGGATATAACGCCATCCAGCGCTTCCAGATTTTCAGTGGTAGTCTACCATTGATCAATTCATGATCTCAATTAAAACTCAACAATCTCCACAACCGTGTACTGATAAAATTAATGAGTTATTTCTACGAGTATATCGTTGAAGAGAAATTAATGAATAACTATTGTACTAATTAATGTAACCGATACACAGTACAGGTAATGTACTACTTTATCTCCATTTGCGATGGCAGATACCTGCTAGACACCCCCCCCCCAATTAATGGGATTAAATGATACTTTCCAGTTAAATAATGTAGTTAAAATCGGATGATAGTGACCAATATAGTGTTATAGAATATATATAGTGATAAGTAGGTATTCTTTTAGTGTATCATCTACTGTCAGATGTAAATACGATCATCATTACCATCATCGATCTGATTTTTCTCCAACCCACTATTCTCTGTATCTTGACTAGCCCTTGTAAAATGCTAATCACTATACACTACAGAATTAATGTTTCCTTTCATTTTATGTGTTCTTTCTTTGTAGTATTGTTGTGTTTTCCTTTCTCTTTACCTATTTAGTCAACTCTTACTGAAACATTGAAAGAAGTTGAAAGCAAACGTGGTAATTCTTCTTCTCTTAAACTAAATCAATCATCAGATTCATATACAACTAATACTATTGATCGTAATGATCATTATTCAGATGTAGTATTCGACAATGTAAAGCATAAACAATCCAATTCAACAATGTTGGATAAAACAGCTGTGAATAAAAAATCATATAATCGTCATTTAAATAAGTCAGGTATTGTCAATACTCCTCTTGTTAGTGGTAGCAATAATAACAATAATAGTAATAATAATAATCCTAGTGTAAAGAATAAAATACAAACAACTAATGAGAGTCCATATTCATCAAATCTACTTCCACAACCACCACTATCAACATTAACACCAACAACATCGTCATCATCGTTGTCATCATCAATGAAGCAAGATAAATTGACACGTTTATTTCGACAAGCTCAAGTGTTGATTCATTCAGATCGTTTAGTTGATGCTTTGGAATTGGTAATGTTTAATTATTTTCATTATAATATAATATAATAATTATAATAATATTGAAAATTCAATCACTTAGATATCAGTGAATTAATTAAAGAGCTACATATTTCACATATTAAGATAATAAAATATACACTATAAAGGAGTAAGTATTCAATAGAAATACTTATCTGTCATTTGTGTACGTTAAGATCATTCGAATTGAATAAACATTGATGATTACTTCGTAATCAATTCATATGAAAGATTTCAGTCCTATAAAAGGTTAATCATAGTCTAAATTTCTTTAAGATAACGTGGCAAGGATTTGACGAAGTGAAGTTTTAGGTTCTTTATGATTTCAAATACACTTGACTGACTAATGAAAGCTAACTGGCATTGAAAGCTAGGTCAGATAGTGTTTCTTGTCAGTTGCCTTCAACTGTCTTAAATTTAATATATATATGTATATCAGATGGGTTTTGTGGATATTATAGTAATTTCAATGGTTAAGATCATGGGTCAGTTGAAGCTAGACCACCATGGAAAACCTGAAAGCACTGGACGGCCGTTTCGTCCTAGTATGGGACTCCTCAGCAGTGCGCACCCACGACCCCGCACCTCGCGGAATTCGAACCCAGGACCTACTGGTTTCGCGCGCGAGCACTTAACCACTAGATCACTGAGCTGGCCGGCATCCAACGGTGTTAATGTCTAGCTTCAACGAATCCACGAATTTGCACCACCGTACACCATTGTCTTCAGTGAGTTGATATCTCACAACAGACCTGGTTGAACTCCACTGGTCACTACTTCTCACTAGAACTCTAGGATATACCTCGTGAAGCCAGTTACTAGTGAGCATATGTTGATCAATATCAGAAGGAGTTTTTGTAGATATTATAGTAATTTCAATGGTGAGATTATATATATATATATATATATATATATATATATATATATATATATATATATATATATATATATATATATATATAACCTTTTAGGAAATAGACGATTAAATTACTGGAGATTTGTTTTAAAGGATTGGACATTGTAACATATATTTTACTGGTATTCTCAGAGAGTTTATACAAATGTCGTGATCATCCCACTAAAGTGTATTCTTATTTAAATTGATATAAACTACTTAGTTGACATATTAATGTTAGTTATCTTAATGGTTATCATCAAATGCCCTGGTACGGCCGAGAGTGGTCAAAGTCCGCTCTCCCTCTCGAAATGCTCTCACATGGCCACGCCTATATAGCGTCTGCCAGGGAAGTTCTACTCACAGCCTTCTCTCACCAGGGGTATTGTTTACAAAATGAGAGGACGGAAAGCAAATGTCTGGCGCTTTAACCGGATTCCAAACCAATGGTGCACATGGGCTCCAGTATCCTGAAGGAACAAATTGCGTATGAACCAATTGTTGGTCACCGGCTTCCATGGGACTGCATCTCCTTACGATACTCCACTGCCTTGTGGATTAGACCTTCAGGTCGGAAGCTCCGAGTGTGGTCCCCTAAGAAAACCACCTGGTTCGGTTTGGGCACCCGGGCAGTATCACAGCCCTCACACATATCGAATGAGATTTGTGTGGCGCATATATATTTAGTACCTCCTTTTACCAATATCTATGTTAAAATAAATAAAATAAAAATTGGTTTTACTTACATCTTAATGAATGTTTTAATAATAAAATTTTGATTGGAATTTAACATACTATTTTATTGAAATCATGAATCGATCCAAGTTACGCTTACTATTAAGAACCTGGATCAGTTTATGATTTCAATCATTAGGTAATCATGGTAAATCAGCTTATGCGGTTGTTAATCTTCATCGACTGAGATGGTTGGGCCACGTATTACGTATGCCTGAATACCGATTACCACGTCGTGCAATGCTAACCGGTGTTAGATATGGTTGAAAGAAAATTAGGGACGGCCAAACCAAAAAGTGGCATCAGTGCTTGAAGACACTAACCTCTAGTCTGAGCCATGTTGGTAGATGCAGACTACTTGGTTGGGGTCTGCGTAACTATCGTAACCAATGGTTGGAGACTCTTGGTGACATGGCTCAGAATCGATCACAATGGCGTCGGTGTATACACTCCCTGTCTTCCCTTAAACAAAGAGATTAAAATCACTTCACATCTTTCTTTCTACTAACTAATTCTTTCTTCCTGTATCCTCATATGCAATCTTTCTCCTATATATTACCACCATTGACTTAACCACTGCTATGAATCCGATGTTCACCTTGCTGTGCTAATGCGGTATGGCAACTTGACCGATGCATATATGTGCCTGGTCCTACGTTGTAGCTGAGTGACTGACTTATGATTTCAATGAAATTCAAAAATCTCCACAACCCCCATACTGAGTATTATTTTATACAAGTAATGTGACAAGTGTGTATCATCATGAAAGGGCCTATTGAACTTGGGGTTAACCAAAATAATGACAAAGTTATTACAAAAAAGAAAACTTTGTTTGTTAATATACGAAACATAAACTATACACGAAGAAAAATATACTTGACGTTATTTAAATTGTCAGGAGTAGGTGTGTTCAAGTTTGTTTGTTTTTTGGTTTTGTATTACACAATTATAAATAGTTAGTCATTACAGCTATAATCCAGATAAAGCATTTAATGAGGTTATCTCTATGATCTGTAAAACATAGACAACAAATATATCAGAGTTCTGTTATCATGATAGGGTATAATTGAAAATAAGAAGTATATATGTACAGCAGTGTATTTATCAGCGATAAACAATGTATCATGCAAGAAGCATTCAAAACCAGAAGAGAAGGTTAAATTAATTCATAACTAAATTCTTGCTTTCTGATTGACTAATGATAAATCTCTATAATCGTTTATCAGATTATTAAGCTTTCAATTAAGTCTAAAACATTGAATAATATTGGTTATAAATAAATGTCATAAGTACGTAAGTTACTATAGTGTTGATTAAAAGAATGAGAAGAAACATTCAGATATTAAAATTAAAAATTATGAATATCAATAAATGTAATCATGAACAATATATTTTTATATAAGCAAAGATAGATAGTGGCTCGCAGGGGAATCCAGGACGCACGTTTTGTCCTTTTTGAGACTCGTCAGCTGAATGTACCTGCATCTCAGAATTGACGTTCACTCTGGGACTCGAACCCAGTACTGTTCGCTTTAAACGCCATTACGTTATGCACTTAGCTACTGAATCCTGATAGCCACCTGCTTGTGCAATGAATTGAAGTTATATTCACTTGATGTGAATATATTTATATAATTTAAAAAAAAAAGGAGAATTGCCTTACTTTACTTTGTCCTCTGTATAACTTCAGATTTACTTATGATAAGAGTTAATATTAAACATATCAATTTATTAATTATTCCGGCTATATCCCCTGTAAGATAAATGATACAATGATCAGTAAACAGTTATTACGACTAATTGACCTCTCTATTGATCATGAAGCTACTTCCAACTTAGTGTCTAGTCAAAAGATTAAATTTGGAATACAGATATCTTGTCTATTGTACTTTATTTATTCATAACTCAAGATACATACAATAATAATATACGACTTGAATTGTCTGACCCACATATCAACACATACACACACACACATAGAAGGAAATGGCAATGCATGCAAAATTTATTTATAAGTGATTTCAAAAAACGGAGTATTAAAGGAATAATAAATCTTAAAGAGTAAAATAGATAACAACGTTTATCTTGGTCGAACAAATGCTTTCAAATAGAGAAATATAGAAAATATTTATGAGAGTTCAGTATTTCTCATTATTTATTATAACACATAGATATTGGTATAAGGAGGCACCAAATACATATGCACCACATAGATCTCATTTAATGTGTGTGAGGGCTGTGATACTGCCCGGGTGCTCAGACCGAAGGGGGTGGCTTCCTTAGGGGGCCACACCCCGAGTCTTTTACCTGAAGGTCTAATCCACAGGACATTGGAGGATCGTAAGGAGATGCAGTCCCATGGTAGCCGGTGACCAACAATTGGTTCATATGCCATTTGTTCCCTCAGGATACTGGAGCCCATGTGCACCATTGGTTTGGAATGAGGGTTTTCCAACTCCCCTAGATGGACTCTCCATGTCCACCAACCTGATTAAAACGCTGGATATTCGCTTTTCGTCCTCTCAATTTCGTAAAAAAACACCCATGGTAAGAGAAGGCAGTGAGTAGGACTTCCCTGGCGGAGGCTATATATGTGTGGTCATGTGAGAGCATTTCGAGAGGGAGAGCGGACTTTCCCCACTCTTGGTCATACCAGGGCATTTGGGGGCTCATTTACTCCTCTTTATGCCAATAAGGATGATGGAAATAATAATAATCTGTGATTTTTAGATCATGTGTTTGGTTAGTAGACGAAAAACAATAACTAATTCTAACTGCACATTTATTGTAAATCATGTGTATTTATCCATTACGCCACAATGTTACTATTCTATAATCGATTTAGAAATTCCCTATTTAAGTACTTTCTTTGTATATAAAGTGATAGCGAGTGAAATTATGAGCCCGAGTTTACAACATAGTGGGTGACCGACCCGGTCTTTGCTACCGTCTAGGTTGTCTAGCAGAGTTGTCTCCATTACCCAGCTGCCATATAGAGAAATAACATGTTTGTAGATGTAGTTAATTATTAGTATAAGAAGCAGTTGTGTGTTGCCTTTATGACTGAGGAAATAGCTTTTATTAATATTATTATTTCAGTATTCAAAATGGGATAGATTGATCTCTAATACATGCATATATTTATGAGGTAATTATTGAAAACCAAAAGTCACTGAACAACTATTTCTTGCTTACATGAAAGTATTGCTTAGTAATTACACATCCACGACTCCACTAGTGACTGCTGAACCCAGGACCTCCATATTTCGCAGCAAATGCTTTTTATCCAAACTACTGGGATCTCATTCAGTGGTTTTTTTTTATATTCATTCCTCTCTGATTTTCAGTGTTTTATTTATTT